TTGTATTAGTATATGTATATATATGTGTAGATGTGTGTGGGTTTTGTATACTTTTCTGCCGGAGTAACAGCGGACGAAGACGCATAACGGCTTCCTGGAGATATACACTGAACTATGTGGATCTTGCAAACGATACTTATACTAGTTATCTCGTACCTCTCGATGTACAGACCAGTGGTTTATTATTCTCGTATGAGTATGTGTGTGTGATCAATATTTTTTATACGCAGATATCGGATAGCTTACAATTATCCGTAGCACATAGCTTCATATTGGATTTTTGTATATATATTCACTGGACTATCCATGTCCGTGTTTCGTTGTGGTACGTGTTCTGTGTCGTATTATCCTCTATATTTTATAAGGATGTAGGTTCAGTCAGCGTTTGCGTAACGGTAACGTTCATATATTATGCTTGTTACGCTCTCATGCGTGGTGTATGTATTTGGGTCTGTTTCTATGTGTATGTGTGTGTGTATATATGAACGCCTTGTAACCAGATGCCGTTGGCACCCACGGAGTTGCACAGTTTAGTGCTGGGGCTGCACGCCCCTTCTGTGTATCTTTCAATGGAAACCCTTTTATTATACTGCCCGTGACATATCCCGTAAAATTGTTACTATGCGTTGAAACCCTAAACCCGCATATTGTTGCTATGCGATGAAACCCTAAACCCTAATGTGATCTATTCCAAACAGCCGAGAATAGGAACCACTTCCCGTACACTGAGGTGAACATATTCCTGCCGACCACAACCTTTGGCGATGATGAGAACATCTTATTCACCGACGACGAATACCGACAGTCCATATATTTCGCGATGTTGAATGCGCTGTATTTGACCTTAGGGCTCATGGCACTGTATCCGTACTTGAAAAAGTATGATTGAAACAGATATCGATCGAAAATGATTTTAGGCTTGTTTGTGAAGTATCTTGTGGTTTCTTGAGTGCTTTTGTATATACTTGTATCTGCGCCCTGTGTGTTCACTGCGGTGTAGTTTAGGCATTCGCATCAGGCGATAATGCCTGTCAGTCATTTGTTAGTTTGTAAATTTAGTGTTCGTCCTTCCAAGTTCGAGTTGTTTTGTCTTACGGGTGGGCCTCTCGGGATGTCAAAGTACGATCGCGAAGAAAAGTTTGCCATTCTATTGTATCGTTGCAAACTTTGCATGTGGCATATATGTAATCTATTTAACAAAGTTCATAGATAGTCCTGGACAAACACTGGTATATAGAGCGGCACTTGTCAGTTCCTTGCCGCAAGTTAGTAGGAACGCTTGGAAACAACAGCTTCATTCCTGTGCCGCTCATGCACATTCTATCCCGTTCTCGCGCTTACAGGTTTTATCCATTCCTAATACCTGTTGTGGATGAGTTTATTTCTGTGTTCTGGAGGTATCCTCACAAGCTAACGGCCATCATGCTTCTGAACACAATTGTAAGTTTCGTCTCACGGCAAATCCGGAGGATTTTAGTATGAAATCAGAGTGGCGTCTGTCTGTGCTTGCTCGTCAATGAGAATGTTAATGTTGTATGATATTGTACTTTAGTGGTCTCATGGCCGATTACTTGAAACGTGGTTGTATGTAATATATGCTATATGTGAATATGGGTGTGATAAGTACTGACAGCCACATGTTGGCGGCACCCGTATATTTATAATCTTTATA